TTGTCTTTATAAATAACTTTTTATGCTGATGGGTTTTTGAGAACCTTTCAATATTTAATTAAATCACAGGGTTTCTGGATCTTTCTTTTGAATATGTTTTACTCATGTATTTACCATTTTTAAACTTTTTAGTAAGTAACTATAAATAATTGAAAAAAATAAAAAGAAAAACGGGTTTACTTTTAAAATGTAGCTAAGAAGACATTTTCTAGCATCTAAGAAATAAACCTCACAATTGCCTGTTAAAAATTAAGAGTTATCATTACCAGGGATATTTCACGTTATTATAAAAGAGAGATTTGTTATTAGAATTTTGTAAACCAGGTTTGAACTCCTTATTTTCTGAAAGGACCAGTGCATTAAGAGTAGAGCAGGACACCTTTTGCCTGGGTGTACCTGAATGTTGTCAGACAGTTGCAGATCTCCCAGGTAACATTTCCTTAAGTGGAGTTTTTAAGAATGACTAAAATTTGTTCTCCTCCAAGCAGGGTGTTTACTTTCTGTGTCCAGTGTTCTCCAGATAATGTGCAGTGCTGCACTCACCTTTCAAATCAAGAAACTTCCTCGAGCATTACTTTAACCTGTGGGCTTTATTGATTTGAGATGTAAAAAACTGCACGCCAAAACTTTGGTTATTGTAAGTAGTTCTAAACAAGAAAGACTAACATCAGTTTTGACAACAAACAAAACCAGTTTTTGTTCTATCGGTTATGTTTAAAAGATTCCAATTTCAAACCAAACACAACTTGTGGTTATTCTGTCAGATATTTATATAGCCACTGGGGCGCCATAGTTATGCACCGCATACATCATTGTATTTTTAAAATGTACTTAATGAACATTTTTTCTTTTCTGGTAACTACTTCATTGCCTTAAATGAATGCATTCCAATAGAATTTGTAACAAATGAGCACTTTGTGTTTGCATTAATGCCAAACACGTTTAACAAATTTTTAACAAGGAACACTGGCAAAAAGCCAAACTCCTAGAGGGACACTGAAGGAATGCTATAAATTTAAACTAGATTTTACCTTTTCACTCAGCTCAACAAGTGTCTTAGGTGTCTTTGGCATCTCAGCATTGGAAGTTTTGTACATAGGTTGGATACAACTTTATGTCTTAGTTTCTCTTCTTGGCCCTCCTCACGTGAGGTTTTCCTATCGATATAACAGGCTTTAACAGGTTACTGTATTCTTTAGAAAGTGAGAGGTGGGTTTTCATTCTTTCCACAAGAGTTCAGCCAGGAGGAAGTAGCAAAAATGGTATTTATTGTTGGGGCTGTAATGACAGAGAGGTTCAAATAGCACATATTATGCCATTGTCATATCCTGTGTTAAGGGAACTTTGCAGTGGCAAGCACTCCAGCAGATCTGTGCTACCCAATATTGTTTCTTGTGCTGAGTTGCAAATATCTGGGCTGTGATCGTGTCTGCAACTGCACTTCAGGGGCAGGGAAAAGCAGCCCACAGTGCTCCCACTGGTCCAAGCTCTGGGCTCACACAGAAGCCACAAGCAGATTTTTGGCTGAATCAAACTTCTGGGGGGTTTTTCAGTTGTTAAGTTATGCCCACATGGTACATGTCAGTACAGACCTTGGGAATCACCTAGTCTGTAATACATGTTCGTATTAAAAGTGTTATAAGTAGCTCCACAAACCACATGCTTGCTCTTTACTTGTAACTTAATATATTAATTTAATTTTTACTGTGTTATTTCAGTTTTAATCAAATGCAGGAACTGAAAAATAATAATACTTAGCACTCATCCAAGACTCTTAAGGCACATTACAAACATTAAGCCTTGCAAATTCCTGTGAGGAGCCTGATGTTATGCCTGCTGTAGCAAAGAGAAAGTTAGGCACAGAAAAATAATATGATTTTTGCTTAGTCACAGAATAAGCTGGTGGCAGGGACAGAATTTAGAGTGGTATGTGCCAAGGCTTTGTTTTAGTTAATGAAGTCATTCTTTTCATGGTTTTGCACAGATAAAGGTAAAAATTGAGAATACATTTTTTTTCCTTCATGCCATTTAGATTTTGTTGTTGCAAGAGGCACAGGCGAGTCCCAGGAGGTCACTTGAGAAAGACCTTATGAGTTATAGCCTTATTTTTTAAATACTACTTTTTAGTCTAGTTACTTGTTTCCAGAAAATGAAATAATTTCCCATCATTTGTTGGTACTCTGACTGCAGTAATGATGAATGAGTCTGGAGAAGGAAACTAAGGAATTCATCCTGACAGCTTTTTAAAAGATGTCACATTATAGTACAGATGCCTTGTCATGGATTAAGAAGCAGAAATAACCCTAATAGGTTTTCATTAATGATATCCTTCTCTACTAACATTTGGTCAGATACCAATTCCCTGTAATAAAGTGGCTATTCCCTCTCTTTCTGACTCACTAATTACCATATCAGTTGCTGGCCTTTTATGTAGGTACCATGTGTAACAGGTTAGGAGAGGGCAATTTAAGCCTATGTGAATGGGTATCTGTTTTTGTATCTGGGTGCTTGTTGCAAACATTTGGAAAGCATATGGTGCATAATGGACATTAACCCAGATGTCAAAAATAGCCTGCATTTTACTACTGTTATTAAACAGTTTCCCCTTTAACCCCTTTGTGTTTACCCACTCTCTCCAGCTTGTTTCTGCAAATCACTGCTGAGAGGAAAGGATTGGAAGTAAAAAGTACTAATCAGGCAGGTGTCTTTATCCAAAGGAAAAACAATCTGAACAAATATTTGTGGGCTACTACACTTTTATATCTTCACATCCTTCTGCTGTTTTCATTGACTGGTATCTAATGGACTGACAGAGGTGCCAAACTCATAAGACATTAATTTCAGCTGGAGCACTGCTGAATTCAGGCCCAATGTATGTTACCAAACTTTATTTCTGTTTTAGAGGTTCAGTGACTTGTCCCAAGTACAGCATTGAAGAAACAAATATAAATTTAATTTACTCAACCTCAGTTGGTATTTGACAGCAATATCCTTTTATATATTTATTTGGCTTACTTGAGAAATACTTTGCATTTCCTACCTGTGGTGAACAAGTTTTTGTTACACTTCCAATACATGTATGGTTTCCTGATGAATGGGTGGGTTGATTAAGTGGGTGACGTTTATTTGGGGCATTTCATTCTATAGCAAAATCCCAATGAAAATCTGGGGAGCAACCTGGAGGGAGAGTGCACTTTGTGTTTTTTTGCTCTTCCTCAGATTGGACAATTTGTTCTGGGTTCTTATTTTTCCAAGCATAAAAGAGTGTTAATTGCAAAGGAACTTCAGCTTGTAAAATAGCAACTATATTGAAGATTTGCTGTGGTTACGTTTTAGTGAGCCTGTTTTAAAAATCTAGGCATTATTGTGCTACAGTTTGTGGAATGTCCTCTCCTCGTTAATTTACACGTGCTCTTCCTCTGCCTGCCCATCTCTTTGCATGATGATTAGGAAATTCTCGGCACCCAAAAGAATGGGAGCTATGCACAGTTCACAAAACGTAATGCATGCTCTGACTTACAGTTTTCATAAAAAGTTTGCAAAGATTTTATGTGCCAGAACTAGTAACATGATCTACTTTAGGAACTCCCTGGCTTTCCAGCTCTGCAGAAGTCATTTTTTAGACCATTCAAGGGCCAGATCCAAAACTTGTTAAAGTCAGTGGGAACCTTTCCACATTTCAGTGGGCTTTGGATTAGTCCCTAAGTGTTTTAACCAGAAGAATTGTACCAACCCCTCACTGAAAAAGCAGAACTATTCATCTAAGTTTGTATGATATAAACTGTTACATGTACTTTCGTGCATATATATGAACTCGAAAATAAGGATTTAAAATAATTTTTGAGTTTATTCTGTAAGCAGTGTTTCACTTTACTCACAGAATAATTTTCCCTTACAAATATTAGATTCTAGAATTTAAAGGGGCTTTTTAGTCAACTAGTTCTATTTGGAAAAACATAAGTTTTCAGCTGTATACAAAAGCATAAGCATTGTATGGCAATTTCTTTTCTTACAATTGGATGTTTTGGAAACTTCTAAGGTTACATAAATGGAAGGGCAATAACAGAGAATCCCATACATAATGCATTTCAGATTTTCTAGAAACAGTCAGTGGATAAATGAACAACTGCCCTGTAAGGGAATCATTTAATTCCTCCCACTCATCTGATATATAGATAATGTGAATAAGACTAATTCACTGCTCTCTGCTCACGAAGTTGCTTGCAGCTCAACTGGTGTAACAATGAAGATCATTCAGGTCTCACTCTGTAGCCGCTTACAACCAGACACAGGTCTGTAGAAGGCAGGAAGGCTCTTCCCACTGACTGACTTGGGCTGACACCCATTACCTCTCACAGTCCTCCAGGTTTTGGCCATGCCAAGCCTGTGATTAGTGGGAGTGTGGCTGAAAAACTCATATCAGACTGTTCTGAATTGTAACTTCTGTAAATCTGAGCTTCTTGTATCCATGAAACCTTTCTCTGCTGTGAGAGAAGTTAAATAAGTACTTAAGAACTTAAAGTGAACTTAAAGTGCTTAAAATATAATGACAAAACGGTGCTTCAGTTTTGGAGAGTTGCTCGAGGTACAGTATATTCCTACCTAACATGGAGATAAATGCATGACTCCTTTGGCTGCCACATAAAAATATTTAGTTTTATTAATAGCATTACTCCTTCAAAGCTACTGTGCCTATAGACAAGATCAAAAAACCCATTGTTTACATACTCACAAGCACAATAGAATTTTACATCTTAGGAATTTAAAGTATTTCCCATTTAGGGGGAATCTTGTCATACAAATCAGCAATAAAACTAATTGCGCCCCTATGAACATAGTAAGTGTGTTCGAATCGAATTTAAATGCCTTATTTAATCCTTAGTCCCTAGAAAAGCAATATACCCACTCATGTCAATGAGAATCTCGGTCAGATGAGAAGTAGAATGTTCTGGATGCTTCAATCATGTTGTTAATTGGAATATTTTGTTCCCTTGTTACAGTTGTCAGAGGAACTAGCGAAAAAGGAAGAAAAAACTGTAGCACTGGAAGGTAACAATGATAATCTATTGCATTGGATCTCCAAACATGACCATGATATCCTGGAGAAGATCACAGATGCAGAAAATGAATGCTAAGGTTGATATCTAATGAAATGCTGCATTAATTGGCATTTTCTCCATTATTTCTTGTAGTCTATTGTGAAATTAGATACTTTGGAAAATAATGAAGGAGACTCAAGCAGAAATTATAAGAGCTTCATTTCTGTTTTAATGGGTCTTGTGAGTTATTCTGTTTTCACAAAGAAACCATCTGTTCAGAATATGATTGTTTAATGAAGTTCAGTTAAATAGGTTATTTAACTAATTTTTGGTAAATTAATATTGATTTTAATAAGTAATTCAGATTCTCTTAGATGTGGTATCTGCATTTGCTGATTTTACCTAGTCTATTCTAAAGTATCACTTCTATTGCACTAGATTATCAAAGAGGTATTAGTAAAATGCTATATAAGGGTGTTGGCATTAACCTTACCCCCAGTTAGATGTGGGCTTTTCCAAAAAGTAAAAACAAGCCTTTACCCTCCTCTGTTTTCTTATATCTACTGATAAAATAATATCAATTAAAAAACCAAAACCAAACCAAACAAAAAACAAATATTGATAATATAACCGGTATTAAGCTCTGGGCCAGGTTGGAAATGAAATCAATTTTTGGTACTAATAACTGATGAAAACGATTAGCTTTATGAAAATATGGTGTGTGTCTCTGACAATGCATAGGACATCTAATTTGAACATAAATATATGATTATATACAAGATGTATCTATTCCGGGATGGTAAAAGCTTGAGGCGTATATAAATACATATGTATGTATATATATGGACATGTACACAAGGATGTATCAACCTTTTACCATCCAAATGCATACATGTTTTCAATGATAAAAGCTGGGACTCTTAACAAACAAACAAACAAAAAACAAAAATAAAGATAAGATTGCTGTGAATACAGTATATGCACTAGGTCTCCTGTAAATGTGGAACTGTTTGTTATTGTTCTCTACATTGAAAAACAGTCTCCAACATGGACCCCAATGAATCTTAGATGTTAAAGAAAATACCAAGGAACAAATAGCACTTAAAGGCTGTTTGTGTCAACAAAATGTGTCTAGTAAAATAAATTTAAAGCACATGCAAGGAAAAATAAAAATGTGAAGTCATTACATTCAGTGAGAGACTATTAACTGACAGTCAGATCTCTACAACTTCTCAAGGAGAAGTTCCTTTTGACTCCACGAACATTTTCAGTCAGTCTGGCAAACATGTGCAAAAATGTTTGGCTGTTTTGTTGAGGCATCTTTTTGTCCATGGAAGAAATGCTTCCATGCTGATGGCAGTGGGAAGAGAATAGCTGCATTTTTAAAGGACAAACAATAAATTTAAGCATGGGTGGCCTTAATCCTTAGTAGTTTTTCTTTGCTGCTGTAAAAAAAAAAATAAATCTCAATGGATACTCCTAAAGTCTTGCACTGAATTTAGAAAAATTATTTTTTGAACCTGTGGTGCGATTAACTCCTACATGAGCCATACATAGTAACCCCTTTAAAATTATTATCTAGAGATGATATTTTATTTACTTGTACCATGATTCTTGGTGCAATCAAAGAGCAATTTATTCGAGCAGGAGCCCTGCTGGATGTTACTGTCTTCAGTAAATAGAGTAAAATGTATAGAATTAGCATAGCGTAGATAATCCCAATTTCATTCATGTTTAAAAAGTTTGTCCTTTAACTATCAATGGCATTTTAGATCTTTGTTTTTGAAACAGCAAAGCTTTGAGGAGTATATTTAGCACATATGACAAATGTTGCACTCGGAAACTCAGACAACAAAACTGGTTTCTCATGACAAATTTGTTGTCGCAGTAGGGGACAATCGTCTGTGTCTCTTACAATCAGGTCTTTACCTTAACTCTGCAACCGAATACTTGAAGTAGGATGTAAACTAGGGGGAAAATAGGGTCACAGATACAAAGCTGTATAGTTAGATATTTATATGTACGTGCCAATTTTGTCACAGGTATTATTTTAGGGGCATTTTTGCTCCGCTCATGTTGGTAAGAGTATTGATCTAAACTTTTATCAGGGCCTAAAAGTTAGCCCCTTAAAGAGGAAAATTTTGTCTAACATTGCTTTTTTCCTTTCTTGCTTATTTTTTTTTCTTTATTTTCATTTCATGTGATACTCTATGATATTTGGAGAAAATCTTTCATATACTGAAATAGAATCTCGGGGTTTACAATAAACACTGTGATGTTGGGAAGTATTTTATTTCAGCAATGTTTGGTAGATTTTTTTTTCCCCCTCTAAGTGTAATGAAGCAAACCAACTTTTGGTTAGCATTTAAGATAATGATTATTATTTTAATGTGAGATCAGTCTTGTACTGCACATTCTTTCTTTCATTTAAATGTACAGTATGAATTTTGTATTTAATGAATTTTGTGTATCCAGTATGCACGTACCTGCACATTGACTTTCATTTGAAAGTGGGTTTCAATTTACTTTTTAAACAGTGTTTATGAAAAGACCTCAGATGTGTTGACACAAACTATATCCGCAATGTTTTTTTTTGTGTGTGTAGGGTGACGTTTGAATGTGATGTTCTGCAGCAATGGGTCAGTATTCCCTATTTACCTTAGATCCTCATTTGATAGTGCTTCTTGTAATAATTTTTTCAAGTGAGTGGCATGTTCTGGATTGTGATATTGATATATGGTTAAGGACATTGATATGAAACTAAGGAATTCCTAGAAATTACCAGTGGGCATGTATTAGACAGTCATTGTAATTTAATGTCTAGTAGAAGTGTAAAGTACCAAGGTATTTAGAGTTCATAACATTGTTATCATGTGTATGGGAAGTATTTAGTGTTGATCAGCTTGTTTATATTCATCAAATAAACTTTGTTTCTTTCTGAAATCAGTGTTGTGTCATTAAAAGTAGGTTTAATGACTGTAAGAAAATGTGTGAGAGATGTTTTCCACATGGTAAATCTATCACACTCCTTATTTCTCTAATTGCTACCATTCAAAGTAATTTATCTTCCTGTTGTTACTATCACATAAACTGTTTAAGAAAGCATAAAAAGGAGAATGTCTCCTAGGCTCCACTCCCAGAAATGCTTATGAGCAACTTTACTAAAGTGAAGAATCATTTTCTGGATTGGGCTCTTAGAGAGCAATATGCTTTTGAGTGCGTTTCTAAAACATAATATTCTTGTGTGACCCTGTGTAATTGCATAGAAAATTACATTTTGTTTATGTACTTTACTGACCAAAAGCCATAAGGTGTGAAATTCTCTGCACAGTCAGCTCCTTTTTCAGCTGCCTGGTAAGTGGTTCCCCGTTTCCATTATGTTCACTTTTTTTAGAAAAGGAACTTTTGTTGACCAGGAATTTCTTACCTCATAGAACTCCCTGGACCAGCTCAGGGCACACACAGCAGGAGAATAAAAGGTAAGTTAAGTATGCATTTTACTTAGGTTATTTAAAAACACACAGTCTCTTAGTTTTAAGCTCTGTTTCTTTACCTATAAATTAGTTTTCTTGGTAAGAGAGTACTATGTACTAACACAAGATATTAAGTTTCACTTTTAACTACAGCTAAATATAAATTTATTGTGTATTCTACTTACGCCTGCTTAGCTTTGAGCTGCAATACCATAAATTGAGTAGTAGTTGCTTCTAGCTCCTTTCTAGACCTGCAGAGTTTTTCAGAGTGGTCTTGTCCTGTATTCAGGTAGTGTCTGTATTAGGGCACTCTCCATCCCACTGGAGACAAACATTTTTGATTCTGTTTTCCGTGTTGATCAGTTGCTGCTTTAAAGGCAGCTTCCATGTGGTGAAGGGGACAGTACGTGCCAATATGTCATACTGAGGTTATAGAGGGGACAACAGTGGGTTTGGGGAAACTGTCAAAGGCTCTTAAGCCTCTTTTCTGTAAGATGGTTTTCAGCAAGGATCTTTCCTCTGTAAAAAGGGGCTGTGAGGGGCCCAGGGGAAGGGATTGGACCAGCATGTTTGTGTCTGCTGGGGTGGGGAGCTCCCCAGAGGGCAACTGGGTGCGAGATCATATCACCTAATGTTGAAGTTTGAGTTTGTAGTCAAGAGCTCCTCTAGCCCTGAGAGAGCCTGAATAAGGACCAAGCTGAGGCTGAGGTTTCTTCCTCAGAGAGTCTGTTTGTTCACTCCAGGCTTGAGCCAAAGCAGCTCAAGGTTTGAGCAAGCAGGAGATTAAGCAGTGGGGGACGTTCAGGGGATGGAGCTATGTGTTGGCTTGCGTTTCAAGCCAACATGTCATTCTAGACACATTCTGAGAGCCCCAAACAGCTCTGTGCCAGTGTGAGTTGGATAAAGCCAATTTCAGAACACCTACTACAGTTGTTCACACTGTGCTCCAGGTCCAGGATTTGGTCCTGGAAGAGCCACACTAATCAATGCACACTGGGTCCCACCCCGCGTAGAAAGTACAGAGCAAAGGGGCAAAGAAGAGTGTGACTATGTGTCACCTGTTGATGTTGCTTCTCCAAAACATGGAACTTTTAATAACCAAAGTATTAAATCATTCGAAATAAAGCCAAGTCAGCTCTAAATAAGTAATACATTTCCCATTATGAAGTCAGTGGGAGCTCTGCACGTCGCCAGGGCATGATTTGACCCACATATGAAAAGTACAGCTGATGGGGGGCTGCTGTGCAGATTTTCCTCCTGTGAGATTACAGTGATGTTATTTCATGCTCCTAACTTTTCAAACAAGATATCTCTGTTTCAAATGCATCTTCTCAAACAAGAGGCAACCTCTGCCTTCATAAGGAATAGCCCAGGGCACATCATTACAGCTTTTGTATGGCCTGGAGGTACTGATGCAGGAGAAGCCCACCCTTGAAGGATGCAGTTGCAGAATCAAGGACTGATTTTGTTTGGGTTTGCATTCCTTCCACTCCTTGCTCTTGAAAATGACTCTTTCTTCAGAATAAGACAATTCTAACCCCAGATCTCCACAGATGCAGGGGAAGAGCAGGCACAATGCCAGTGCATCCTAAAGACAGTGCATGTGTCCCTTTGAAAAGCACACTTGAATTTGTGTTACAGACAGTTATATATTCCCACGAAGCTGCAAGTCTCACGACAGATACAAGAACTTTGAACTCACCCAGTTTCCAATGGAGGCGAGTGTCCAACTTTACAAAGGCTGTGCTTTTGGTACTCACCCCAGCGAGGCCAGGAGACAGCAGATGTTCTGGCAGCTGCAGTCTGCCTTGCGCTCGGGGAGCTGGGGCTGGAGGAGAGCAGCCAAGCTCCCTCCAGATGGAGCAGACAGGGAAGAGGCGAGTGGGAGGCTGCACAAGTAAGTTAGATAGCTCCAGATAGCAAAGGACTGATGATGTGTGGCTCCATGTCACCTAACCAACCTCAGAGAGGCTGCAAAAGAGAAATAAGCACCAACCCAGAGCTAACCTGAGCTCAGTAAGAAGCCTTCTTGTCGTGGGAAAATCAATAGGGAGGAAATATCTGTGCAGAATGCATGATAATGTAGCATGGTAACTACTTTTTATTTGAATGTAATTTGGACAAATGCATTACTCATAAGTGAGTTATCCAGGGCTTGCCAAATATGTGGTTAAACAGTTATTATAGCAAATTACACCATCATCTAAACACCTCTGTTTTGGCTCTTAGTTGTCTTCTTTTGCAATGAGACAACTTTTTTTTTTTTTTTTCTTGATTACTGTTGTCTAATAATGCTGTATTTACTGTTTTGGTTACCATAGAAATAAGTAATGGCACAAACAACAACATGCCTACAAGAGAATAAGAGCATTTTCTGAATTTCACAAGGAGAACACTCTTGTTAATGAAGACCTATGTGGTTGCGTAGTTCTTAACATAGCTCTCATGTCTATTGATTTGTGTCCTCATATGCATTTTATTATGGGCTTTATATTTCATTTTAAACTTCCAAAAATAAAGAAAAACAGCTGAGGTACATTTTTTTTTTTAAATGGCCAGATTTTGGTTAGAGGTTAACACAGGCCAAAAGAGAACTCAGCTCTGCCCTCGAGCCCTTGCAGTCCTGTTTTGTTTTGTTTTAATAAAAAGATCGTTATTACAATCCAGCGAGGGTCACAGAAGCGCGGTCATTCCAGACCAGCCGTACTCCTTGTGCAGCTCTCCTGCCCTCTGCACCTTCTCCAGCCTTAGATCAATCAAACCTGTGAAGGCAGGACTGTTGTCAGTCATGATAAGTGTGTGCATTAAGGGGCTAATCCAAACTTTACTGAAGTGACCTGAAAGACCATTGATTAAAAGTAAGTTTCTGCTCATAACCCGCTTGCTTCTTTCTGGAGCAAAAGTGTATATTTAGAGGAGCATGGGGCCAAATGTTTCATCTATATATCAAAACTTCAGCTAAATGTAATTCAAATGAACAAACTGATTTTTTGAATGCTTTGTGATAAGAAAATATATCTTGGGTTTCATTACTGAAGTTAATTTACAATGTGTTTTTTTTATAGTTGTCCTGACTGTGTTTCTAGGCCAGCACTCAACTCCTACCAACTCTTAACACAGTGTTTCATTATAGTGTCTTTACATTATGATCACTTATTTATTGTATTTGTTACAATTGAATAAGTACCACTCAGTCCATGGGGTAGTTTGCTATTGCTAAAGATAGATCTGCTATTGCCTCAAGGAGTAAAATGCATATATAGGAGTCTGTTTTCTAAAACAAAATAAATTCTGAGCAATCTTGCAGTCGGTGTTACTACAGGGAAAAGAAGAGGCAAAACAACCCCCATAATAATTAACTCCTGGGTCTGTCCAGGTAGCCGGTTTCTAGAGGATTTTTTCCAATTCTGATGCCATTCAGCATGTCAGAGTTGTTCACACTGAAGTTAAACAACCAGTCTCCGTATCTGAAAGCTGAAGGTTGTAAATCTCCCTTGTGAATGTTGCCTATGACAGGGAAGGAAAGACTTGCGTAATTACCACTTGTACTTCCTCAGAGAACATGAGCTCAAGTCTAAAGCAAGGAGTTTGGTCAATAAAACATCAAGGTCTGAAAACTACAGGAAAAGACCTGTCCAGCTCATATGATAAGTGTTTTTTTTCTTGGTTAAAAGAAAACTAATATTTCAGTGGAAGCCTCTTCTTCAGACCTGATTAATTTGCAGATATTCTTAATTTTTCTTCAAGATTACAAATAGTTATTGCAATTCATAGCTAAATTAACCGAAATATCTTACAATCTTCCTTCTATGTGAAGCATAGTGCACGGGATATAGTTATTCTGCTAAAATACAGAGAACCATTTACTAATCTAACTATAAATGTTATGATGGTCATCAGTGTCTTTGAACCAGGTTACAAATTTAAAATCAGAGAGCAGGAGTAGCACCTTGTTCCCACGCTACTGAAGTCAGAAGGAATTACTTTCAGTCCTTCTCCAGGCAGTGAGGGATATCAGTGCTTAGCACTTTGGGCTATAATTGGCCAGATAGCTTATGGAAGAACACAACTACTCACGTGAGCAAATTTTTACAGGACTTAGAGCCTTAAATCAATTATTAATGCTTTTTGGCTAATGTGAATACTCGTGGTCACACTGGTACCTTTTCATAGCAATCTTTGTCCACATCTGTTCTCTACTTACATCGCAGGGAATGATTTCAGTTAAAATGTTTATGCATTGCTGCTGTTCTGTTTGCTCGTCTCCATTGCAGCTTTTTCTACTTCCTGCAGTGCTTTGCACATTTTTTAGCTCTAAATTCCCTCACGCAGAAGTGCCATATGCAGTCTTTAAAAACTTCTTTTTGAAGGAACCCTGTGATTCTTCAGCTGCTTTGCCGTCTTCTGTAAGGGTGCACAGAGAACTCTGCACAAGGTAGGAGGCACTTAAAGTAAGACTGTCTGAAATTA